GTTGAGTGGAACAGCATACATGATAACGGAATGATATTTACATGGAGTGACAAACGATATGAGTTAGTGATAGCACGGACGTTTCCAAGGAATAGGTTGGTATGAGTCTGAAAAGTTAGACATTTTTATTCGCGCAACGTCAAATAATACCAGTGTACAAGAGTGCAATGTCAGCATGGTTCCTCTCCATATGATGGAACTAGTCCTACCAATCCTACAGGTCTTACGGATCAGCCAGACGCAGGTAGGCATGTGTCCATTTGATATGTTGCAAATATAGCTTTTCCCAAGCTTCTCAACTGCCTTTTCAATTTAAAACGCTGATATTTTCTCTCGCACACCCATCGAAAATTCCCCATGATAATCAAACCATATCGTGTTATAGATATATCAATTAAAGTACAGTCTCTTCCAGAGTGCATTCGAGGAAATCGTTTGCCTTGGAGAGCTGTTCCAGGCAATAAATGCAGTATGCAAAATCTTCAACCTAAAGAATACCGTTTGCAGTAATAAATTCTCGGATATCGTTTGTATCGTGTTAAGTTGGAAGCCCCAAATGACTTAAGGAGCACCTTTTACATACCTTCTTTTGGAGTGATAGTCTAACTCTTGTGTTTGACGCTATGCCTATTTACTTCATCATCCAGTTTTTTTCTTCTGGAGATTATTAGTTCGGTTCTTTGTCAGCTGAAAGGGAATGTTTTATTTTCCCTTTTTATCAGGGCAAGTCGAATATCATATTTAAAGAGCAATATAATTGGGCCTCATCATGCGCTTCCTGAGGGCACCATTGGCCCTTTTGTTATTCCTCGTCTGGGGTCAACGACCATTAACAGCCTCAGTCGATAATGAAATTCCTTCTGTATTCTTCAAATTTGTCAAATGACCGCAGCAATGAAAGACAATGCACTCATATTATATATGAGACTAACGTGAGAGGAACTATCGAGGCTCGATAAGATTCAATAGGATGGTCCCATTAAGCACAAGTGGCACTATCAAGTTCAAGAGCCCTGCTTTCCAAGAAAGCAGGGCTCCCTAGAAAGAAGCCCCCTAGCAGGGCTCCCAGAAATCCCTGGAAATTCCGTTCATTCCCGGAATGTCTTCATGTCAAGTGTATTTACTCCGCTTATTCTCCCACTGGAAAAGTTTCCATTGGTATATATTCTTCCTTCGAGCTTCCTTCCGTAATAAGTTATTCCCCGTTTGGAAAACCCCGAAGGAATAGTACCTCTCCTTTCCTGGAAAAAGAGTGCCTTGGCTCTTTGCTTTTATCTTGGAACACTGGAAAACCGCAATTAGATGCATCTGTTAGATGTAGAGAATTCCGGAGAATTTTCAAAGACATACACAAGATGAGATCTATGTGGAAACGCAGCTTGGGTAATTGGACCACCAGCGTTGATGCCTTTAAACGTGAACACCAAACACCGGCGAGTGTTGACATCGGGCTGTCGGAAAAGCCTGCGAGCGAAATCACCTCAAACTTTTGAAGTGCACGTGGGTTCAATAATGTTCGAGCGCGATGTGTGTGAAGGTGCTTGCGCAAACTGCTACGTGCGCATGAGGGACCACAAAATCAAGTTTTTGGTTTTGCAACATGAATATGCAGGAGAAAAACGATGTATGTATTCATATTTTGATGAACGCTAATGAGGAGGGATCGCAGAGAGATGCGTGGAATAAGTTGAAGATCAAGCGAAGAAATAGGATAATGGAAATTAGTTTTTTCCTGGTGAGCTGCATTTTCAGAAGAACGAAGAACGACCTGAGTACACCAAAAGAAAGAAACGTTTTAGGCTCAATGTACACAATATGTTGTGGTGGAGGAGTGATTGTAGTAGATTTTGAATTTACGAATTTACACTTTGACCCACAGAGAGGTCCGATCTCCGCGTTGCCACCTGTATAGCAAAACTAATTTGAGACCTCTGCTCTAGAGCTTGGAGCATTTAATCATGAGCAACAGTTGAACATTTTGGGAGGCGCAAGCAGCTCGCGAGCCGTTTGGTCGTTCCTGGTACATCTCGAGGGAAGTATCCTTCCAGGAACTAACGAATGAGAAAAGTCTCCAAGCAAGTAAGAACGCAATATGAGAAATGTCCCATAGGGAAACAAACGTTCAGAGATGAGCCCGTTTAAGTATTCGCCTGTCAAGAAAAGGACTGGACATCGACCGCCAACTATTTCATTCTGTAAGGACCTCCCATTCAAATACTTGCGAACATGCAATTTTGATTCTATATCATGGACTCCTATAAGAGACCTTACCTCATGCGCTATATGTATGCTCCCGCGCCCACCACTTGCATTCTATGCAAGATAAAGGCAAGAAATGACTAATATACATGTCTGAATCGATTCTTACATGCGGATATTTCTAAAGGTAAGCCATTGGCCCTCATGAATCAGAGTGAGCTGGAACTCGAGCTAAGTTAAATTGGAGCCACAGCTCCGTTTATTACGATAAATGCAAAGAGCTTAAGCTCCATCCCTGCGAGATGTAGTTCTCTCCTTCGTTAAAAATGGCATTTCGTAGGAATGAAAGGAGAACTTTTTCTCAGCCCTTGAGCTAAATCTCGTGATAATTGAAGTCTGCCAAGGGACAGACTCAGCTAAGAAGTCTTCTTGCTGTTATGTGATCTATAATGGCATGCGCTGACTCGGCCGGGCAGACTTCGTTAAAAAGATGCGTGAGGCCACCAATAATCCCCCTGTAAAAGAACATTTCGGAACGTTCGGATTCTACGACATAGGTTGTACCTCTTTAACATGTAAAACTCGGCTTCTCTCTACGATTCTCTCTAATTCCTGCCTTCGTCTAGCAAACGTTAATTGGGTTGTACTTTCGGAAACATCCCCTAAAATGCAACTAATTTGTAGCACGTCCACACTTGGAACACCGCTTCCCAATAACTCCAGGAAAATTTCAGCCTTGGAATGGTGGGAAGGGTGCTTCGCGTTGCATGAGTAATAAATGGAATTTGTAAGAAGTTCATCATGATATACATATTCTTCCGATAACTTGTAGCTTTCAGGATTGAGATTTCATGGAAAGAAATCGAGACAGAGTTTTTTACCCGAATCGTGGAGGAATCTGGCTCACCTTTGAAATCCCCCTGGAGTGTTATACTTGTTAAAAGGGATTTAAGCCCTTGAGTCTCAAAATGACTGTTCCTTTATGTTAATTTTCCCTGCCAGATACTTGAAAAATGAACCCCTCGTTATTGATGGTGACTCAAAGGATAAAATTCAGCTCACATCATCCCCGAAAAAAGAAATGGGACCCAAGTCAAGGTACACTCCTCGATGAGAAATGGGATAATTTGTTTACTACAAATGTTGAGGCGTTATCTCAAACAAATTATCATGAAGGACTTTTATCAATACTACAGTAATGTCAAAATTGTTGCTCCAAGCGAAGTCCTTGGAAACATTCTCGCAGCATTTGATATAGGGAAAATACAATAAGTTCCAAAGGATTACGCGAAACTGATATTTTTCACGCGCATACCATAATGGAGAGAAAGGATCACTTATCGATATCGCTTCGCAGATCTCTCCACTTTAATATCACTTAATGACTTCACTTGGTAAGGGATTCCGGCTGAATAAGGCCGGTTCTGAGACACATCCGACGAAGGGGATTGGTATAAAGATGCACTGCATGTTGCTTGGGCTGAAGTTTCCGGGATGGACTCGGGCGCAAAGGATGCACCACACACTCGCGTATAGGCAACCTTTCGTTTGTGGAAAAGATGTTCATTGGTTTTTCGGAAAAAAAAAAACATATGTATTGGAGCTGGTTTAAAGATCAGGGCGATCTCCTTTACCATAAATAAATTCAAGAGTTGTCCTTTCCAGAATTTGCAAGAGACCAAGTTTAATTGGGCTGAACAACAGCAGATTTATATACTCTTGGATTATGCCTTTACGAAGTAATGAATCTGGCTTATCGCCGTGAAAATCGTCGTCTTAAATTATGCAAGTAATTAATACACTACAATACCGATATCATTCCGATGCATACAATACCGATATACAAGGTAGATTGCGATTCCTATTTATCCGATCGTCTGTTGTTTATGTGTTTCACACCCGTAAAGCTGATTAACTGAAAGATTGTCAGAAAATGTCTGCCCTTACGGAAAAATCTCCGGTGTGAGCAACAACGTGATTTTGGGACGGAGTGACTACAGTGCGCCCCGTGTGACAGGGTCTCACGGGGCGCTTTCCCTTCATCCGTTCAGGGTTATCTGTAACGGTAATGCATATTTTAAACAAATGAAGGGTGCAGGATATCGTTATGAACTTCCTGGAGTAATATGGACCACTGTCAAGGAACTTCCTAGGAGGTATCTATTATTATATGCATTGTAAATATTCTTTTCCTGACAGAACCATCACAGCTTCCTCCAAATTCTAATAAGAAAGCCAGCACACATCTGATTCTATTTCTGGTGCCTGTACAGCAGGGGTCGGGAACCTATGGCTCAAGAGCCAAAAAGTTTAGCTCATGAGTCATGGCAAAAATTAATAGTCGTCCACATTTTTTCATGTATCAAATAATACACATGACTGTTGCCAACTACAGAAAAAATTGTCATTTTGAAAATATTTTCGCTCACGAGCACTTAGCTCAATCGTAATATGGCTCACATGCCCAAAAAGGTTCCCGACCGCTGCTTTACAGGTACTCAACCACCCACCAACCCGAAGAAACATGGGCGTGACATAGGTTGTCATACCCATAGCAAATACCAAATGCAGATAACGCAATTAACTTCTGAACTTGTCCGGTTTCACATGATGCATCCGAAGAGTGGAGTTGTTTCAAGGCGTTTCATCATATCATCAACTGATCGGCTGATTAAGGATTGTTGAATTTCGAAGCATTCTGGCTTGGAAGCTGGCCCTTCTCTCTTCACGAATGAAATAAAAGTCGACTGCATGGACGGGAGTGAGTTATTTATTTCTGCTGGGAACGTTTCCATTCCGACTCAAGGAGGACATGTGAGGGTGCACTGGAACCCTCTGTCTCTTATGAGGAAGTTCGTCCTGAAGACGATGGTAAGCCACGTGTTACCTGGGACGAAGTACGACAGCGACGTCTGTCCGCACACTCTGCATGGAGAAAAATACAGGAGTTTGAGTAGACTTGAATTGCTTTCCGGTTTTCATGAAGGTGAAATCGGATGTTTGCGACGACTCACGACTGGTCTCGGTTTCCTGAAACCGTCAGGGCATCTTTCCAGCAACCGTTAGACCACTGGATTCGAACGACGGGACACGAAAGTGTCAGGTTATTTTGGCACTGTAATTAAAAAACCACGGTACAAGTTGATTTTTCATTATATGGCATGAAGGAGGAAACAAGAAAATGCATGTTTTCTCACTCTGTAAGCTCTTTTGTCGTAGTAGTTGTTCGGGTATCTTCTAGGGTAGTTGGGGGATTGATAGGTTTCTGTGGTATTGAGAGGCATATCTTGAGTCGATCCCATTCCACTGCTTCCTGCTGACCCTAGATCTAAAATTGTTCTGTGAAATCTTTTAATTCCCCTTGAGATCCAGAGCGAAGTGAGCAAGTTCGATGATCTTCAACACTTACAATTTCCGAGTGGGTTCACCGGTGCTGCGTTGCCTTATTATTGCTTTATTGGATTGTTACTGGTGCGGTCACTTGACAGAAGGCACTTTAACAATAGAACGAACTTGAACGGAATCGCAGCAAAACCTTTCAGCTCAATTTATACTCGAGCCAAGTTTGGCTCAACTACGCAATTCGCAAGCTTGGGCCAAGTCCGCGAGCCCACATATGTAAGCATGGCACACTGTGGCATATCTCATGTAACGCTTTATGTGGCGCCCAGTCATTAGTACATCGGTGGGCCAACTACAGCTTATGTGGTCGATATGTATGTGACAAACAGCGCCTAGCTTGTATGTCTAGATGCATAAGCATTGATCGACTTTGGCCTGTAAGAGAGCAACTCAATGAATGTTTGCTCATTTTGCGACAACCATTATCTTTGGACCGAGTGTAGGCATTACTAGAAATGTCTACTGGCGCCCAGTCAATAATTTATCCTTGGCCAAGCATGGCTTACGGGTTTGGTGCACCAGTACATTGCCGCGCATAAGCCATAATTTATTTGCATGGTACACATGCCGAACGTGCGAAGACCGCACCAGAAAAGTCCGCTTTTTCTGTGGTGATTAAAACCAGTACTTATAGGAATTGGTTTTAGGTTAAGCTATGGTTTAATATCTGTCTGATGTATCTACAACTGCGGCCATCGAGCTAATGCATATTATTAATAAATACATAACATATTTCCAGAAACTTTCCGATCTGTCATAACTTACCAGCATCCAACACTTAAAATGATAATCAGCACTAATAATTCCCTGAAGCCAAAATGATACGGCACTCACCAGAGCATCACAAGCATGCACATCATTGCTCGCTCACCTTCAGCCGCATTGCACAAACGCGTGAAACCTCCATGTCCGCAATGCGTGGCCTAAGGGTTCAAAACCTCCCTTGGCCATCCATGCTCAAATGACTTAATGGTTCTAGAAGCGACATGGCTACCGCATATACGCCGATTAATCGCCACAAATACCTGATTGTGCGGTATCGCTCGTCTATAGAGCTATGAAATATGATCGTCTTCTCACAATGAATGATGACATGTCATGACTCATTTGTACACGGGAGGCTAACTAGAATAAAAACCGTTTCCTTGGACCAAAGATGCTCCGATCTATATCTCCGGCTTTCCTTTCGGTACAATAAATGAGTTACATATTTCACGGGGTGACTTCATCTTATCCGAAAAACGAAAAGGTTCATCTGTACTTTTTGTTCCTTCTACTGCAATGCATCAAAACTATTTTGGGCGGCATATGGTGTTTGGATTAAAATAAATTTAAATGAATAATCGATGAGACAGAAGTTGGTCCTGCACAAGGAATGTCATTGAAATATCTTATTTTATACCGCGTCACCGTGGCCCAGTGGATAAGGCCCGGGCGCAAGCGGGAGGTCCAGGTTCGAATCCGACCGGCGGCAGGCGGTATTCTCCTGGGTCGACAGTTCACCCGGCTCCTTTCGGGTACTACCTGCTCTCCCTTGGGCAGAAGCATAGGCCATTCTGTGCTCCATGGTGCGAGAGGTAGGAACTTGGTGCACCTCAATGGCGGCCCGATGTGCAGCGATGGATGGCCTATGGCCGGAGCGGCATCGAAGTTGCCACCACCTTACCCGGGCCCGTGAAAATGGGATACATAATGACAGGAAGCGTGGGAAGGTGGGGCAATGCCGTCAGGGATGTCCGATATAGAATTCCCTTTCCTCTACTCAGTGTCGCCGCTTGTGGCATTTGTTCTTGTCTGTGTATGTTCGTCCCAGTCCACGTAAAAAAAAGAATTTAAAAAAAAAGTACTATTAAGAGTAAGGTATTTTCAAGTAAATGCAACTTGGGGAGAGACATGTTGAACAACTGGCCTGATATGCAAGAAGCACCAAGCAGATGGAAAGGAAGAGACGCATCGCAGCCATGACGAATGAATGCAGTACGAGAGCAGTACACAGTACACCCCCCTTTTAAGCCCACATTATGAAGGTCTGCTAGCACAGGCGTTTCCTTTGATATCTTATCAAAAGCCGATCGGAAGATGATGCAATTTCAGACGAGAGAGGTTAAGGAGTGGGCGTTCGGATATCTACCCAAGGAGGCAGGTTCTGCGCTAATGTTATAACTTGTTATCATTGCAAAGCGCAGTTCCATTGCCAGCACCGTATGGTGCGTGAAAATTTGGCCAAGAATCGGCTAAGATCCTGGTTTTGGCATAGGCAAATAGCATAAGCATATGATGTGAATCGTCGTCTATGTCTTCCTGGCGGCAAGCGTCACAGGCAGTGCATGAAGCTGATTTCCCGATTGAAATGCACTTTTGGAACGATGAACAAAAAGATTTCTGAGTTTTAACCCCTTCCGGTCCATTTTATTTATAATGCTATGGAGATTGGCGAACCTGGAAAGGGTTAACAAATGCCCTCGATATTCCTAGGTTCTCAAATCAGAGACAAAGCAAATTCTTTCCAGTCGTGGCACAAGATTGGCAAACGGGACACATCCGTTCACACATGATGCCGATTTTTTGCTTTTTGGGAAAGGAGTAAAAGGTGGGACCTTGGGACCTTGAGACTTCGTTTCATATCGGTATCGAATGGCCTTCCTTTCCCAACTGGCCCGACATAGTTTTATTCTTCCGAAGACAGGAAATGTTTTTATAGGAGCGTGTCCATACCACATACCAGGTTATTTATATTCAGGCTCGCATCCTTTTTGCCTTTTCAAGAAGTCGTTCTTTTCTTAATGGTACCTATGTGAAGAGGAGACGAAACATGTCCTAATAATTGCCTATTAACTACGTGACACATAACAGTGGAAAAATTCATCGTTGCCGGTGGAAAACGTGATATTCGAAAACCCAATAGTGCTACAAGACCTTCAGCCTCGACCTGAAAAGTCTGAAAGAAAAACTCCAGAAGTTTTATGAAATATAGGACTCCAGGACTAACTTGGTGGCGCTGTTTGTATCTTACTTATATATATTACAAGCTGGGTTGCCCGGCGTTGCCCGGGATATTTTTTAGGAGTAATATAGCTGTTGTGCTTTTTTGTTAGTGGTTATTTGTCTAAGTCCGGCCTGACCGACGGAGACGGGAGCACTGCTCGGGCAATTTTATTTTTATTGGTTTTTTTTCTTATTTTTTAAAAGTTGTTCTAAATTAATTATTAAATCAAAGGGGCTCTTCTTTCACAAAAATCTAAATTAAATGGGTTTCTCAATGATACTCTTATTTCACAGGAAAAACTAAACTCCATTTTCTCACTCATATTCTTACTGCACTGAAAAAAAATTCTAAAATTGTAAATTCTAAAGTGTCTCAATCATTCACTGCAATGCTTGAGAAATCTAGCTGGCCTAGAACACCCTTTTTGGGACCCCGAGACCCCCCCGGAGCTGCCGCCCTGACCCCGACCCCCCGATGACCTGCTACTGGACAGACCCCACCCTCCTTCGAAGGTTTCAGGTCGATATCTCCAACGGTATCCGAATGCATAGCGTCAGATGGACAGAGACAGAGATCCTTGCTTTTTGATATAGATTTCTCCCCTTGCTTTCCTTTAATATCGGCAGGTTTTGCTCCTATGGATTCTTCGTTATGGCTTATCGTGAAACAACTACGTTTCGTGAAACGTAGTTGTTTCACGATACGTACACGAAACGAAACGACACGAAACGAAAATACGTGAAACTAACACCCCAACAAGTTCAATGAACGCCACGTTGATTGAACTTGTTCGGGTGGTAGTTTGCCGGTAGTCTCTGTAGATCTTAGTGATTCCTTCCATGACAGAAGAGCACTTCGTTTCCTGCGGTTTGCAGCAGGTTTACCTGCCGCTACATTATTTTCTCATTACGTGACTAATCCAGCAAAAACGGGGAGGTGAATCTTGATACACCTATAACTGATATGATGTTGATTTCAGGAATAATTCAAATTGTGTGCATCCCTCAGGGCAAATATGTTGGATGTTTTTTCTTCACACACATTTCGAGAATGTTCTCTGTTAGTCAAGAAGAACGGGGACTCATCAACCTAATATTGTGGAAAGTTACTGTGAACCCTTCCGTTTGTTGAGATTCAATTGATTCCATGAGAAGTTATTAGTACAGGAAATCTAATATTTCGACTTGGTGTGAATATTTATGGTCCACCCATAGTGATGTAAAAACGCGTACTTTTCATTTGACATTTTATAATGTGAGGAAGAAGCTTCTAGACCAGGGGTGGCAAGGTACGGCCCGCCAATTGATTTCATCCGGCCCGGCATTATGTCTTGCAAAAGGAATCATTTTTGTTCTTTTAGTTCCAGAAAGGGCCCGTTTTAATCCGCACAGCTGCTGAGCTAGCTCGTTTGTCATAATTAGGTCCTCTTCCCCTTTCCTCTCCTCTAAATGTAATCCACACCCACAGCCTGAGGACGGATTCAGTGGCGATTTTCTTAAAGCTAAGGAGGGGGTGGATCATCCCAAGATACAGATCACTCAGCATGCGACTTCTTAGAAAAAAGTCCGACCTGGTGACCCTTTTTACGGCTTTGTCGAGTCTCCTGCCAAGCTGTGACAGGCTTTAAGAAAATAGGGCAGATACAGCAGATAGGAGGAAAAAAAGCGTCCCTCTCGGGTATTTGTGCGGGATTTGGCATAGCCGCAAGGCCACTCTTCGGCTCGCCGCATCTGATGCGACCTCTGTGACCTGACGCAAGTCATGGTTTAGCGTAGAGGGTGAGACTGAGAGGGTGAGACTGAGAGGGTGAGACTGAGAGGGTGAGACTGAGAGGGTGAGACTGAGAGGGTGAGACTGAGAGGGTGAGACTGAGAGGGTGAGACTGAGAGGGTGAAGCAATTTGGCAGCGACACGTGAGAACAGGACTGAAGACCTACACTGCAAACCGACTCGCATTTTTTGCGTCACAACCTTAGAATTGTGGTATTTATATCACCCGTGAATAGTATGTGTGAATTCGGAAATGAGCTCATCAAAGAAGAGGAAAGTGGACACTAAATTCCGAATATTCAACCAGGAATGGACTTCTAAATATTTTTTTACCGACGTGGGTGGAAAAGCTGTG